CTAGGATGCCCAGCTGGTGTTTGGAGAATTGGAAATTGCTTGCTGTGGAAAAAACCCACACATCTGGTGTCAGAAGTTGTATAAGTGCAGAGGAAACAAGAATAGTTTCTGTCAGAACCAACATATCCAAATAAAATGACAAAGAAAACTCAGCATGGGCCCAATTCAAACCAACAGAAGAGAATTAGCAGGTTCACCAAGAGGAAATGACAGAGACCTTAAGGAAAGTGTTGGTATCATCTCAGGGTTCCTAGCAAACACAAAAGGGTCCTAGTTATTATGACGGAAAGTTCTAAGACTACTGAGAGAAAGATTATATGGCCAAAAAATCTAAAGGAAAGTTTTTCAACCTTGGCAAAAATGACATTGCGCTAATTAATGTTGGGTAGTTCTTCATTGTGGGAGGCTCTGCTGCACACCGAAGAATGTTTCCAGGTATCCCTAACCTTCTATCCACTAGAGACCAAAAGCCCCCTCCTGGGTGTAACAACCAAAAACGTGTCAGACATTGCCAAATATCCCTGAGGTGTAGATAAGTCAAAACTGCTCTCGTCGGAAATGATTGCCCTAAACAGGAACAAGGGTAAAAAGAGAGGGACAGATATAAGAAATGAAATTCCTATGATACACTCAAATTATTGGAGAGAAAGGCATTTAAAGAATTAAGCTTATTTAACAGTAGAGTCTATAGATTTCAAACAAATTGAAAAATTAAAAAGTTTTGTTCTGAAATAACTGTAAAGCTGAATAAGTCATAGGAAACAAGAGTTTTCATATACTGGACAACAGGCAGAACAGGTCTGTCGTCACTGAAATGGAAAGGAGATGAGCCTTAGATGCCCAGCTTGCAGAGGCCTGGAGGCCCTTTCTGGGCTGCAGCGGAGGCAAGGGGAGCACAAACTGAGTCTAGAGGTCTCCTCGATGCAGGGAACCAGAGCTGGAGATCCGGGAGTACTCAACAGGCGAAATTTGTGGGGTAGACTACCAGATATATGGAAAATGCACACACGTGGGTACCTCCCTGATTGGGAGGCTGAACTAGAACCAGGGGAAGGCAGGAGCAATTGGGGCTTACATGGCTCAAGAGGCCCTGATACAGGCAGGACGTTGGGTGCCGTACTCAGAAAGGTCATGACTTGGTACTGGGGCTCAATTAGCCCCAAATTAAAAGCTACCCTGGATCCACCAGAAATATAAGACTCAAGAGATCTCATCTGTGTCAGAACAAACCCAAAATTCAACCCAATACCACAAAACCCAGCCCTCATCAGCATTAAAAAAACCTCTCACAATTCCTGTTTTGTTACAAGATACCAGGCTTTCAAAGAAACAAATAGAACCCATAGCAAGGGAGGAGAAATCAACCACTAAAACAGCAATGACAGAGGTAATGAAATTAGCAGTCAAGGATCTTAAAACAGCTACTTTATTTATTTATTTTTATTATTCAATTTTTTTGAGACAGGGTCTTGCTCTGTCGCCCAGGCTGGAGGAGTGCAGTGACGTGATTATGGCTCACTGTGGTCTTATCTCCTGGGCTTAGGTGATCCTCCTACCTCAGCCTCCTGAATAGCCAGGACCACAGGCACATGACACTAGGGCTGGCTAATTTATTTATTTATTTATTTTTTGTAGAGATGAGGTCTCCCTATGTTGCCCAGGCTGGTCTCCAACTCTGGGTTCAAGCAATCCTCCCACCTTAGCCTCCCAAAGTGTTGAGATTACAGGTGTGAGCCAGCACACCTGGCCAAAACATCTACTTTAAATATCATACATATGTACGAAAATGCCAAGGAAGGCACGAACACAATGAGGACAGAAAGAGAAGATCCAAAGATCCAATGGAACTTACAGAGATAAAAATACAGTATCTTGAATGAAAAATACATTGCATAAAATTAATGAACTAGACAATGCAGAAAAGGGTGGTGAATTTGAAAACATAACAATTAGAATTAATTTTTATGTATGGTGAGTTACCAACTTTTTTTTTCTTAACAGTTAACCGAATATCCATGTATTTACTTGATTCTTTCCTTCACTGCTGATTTTTGGTCTGACAATTATCATATGCTGCTAAGGTGTCTGCACTGGGCTTTCTAGTCTAAAAGTCGCTCTGTCATGTGCCGCTTGTCATACTGCTTTAATTATTAAAGCTTCATCATACATTTTAGCAGATGATAAGCAAGTCTTCTCTTATCACTCTCCTTTTTCAACACTTCTTATGTATTCTTGCAGGTCTGTTCCTCCAGATACTTAGAGCTTCGTATTTCAAGATAAATTCTTTGATAATTATAATTAAATATACAGAATTCTTGGAAAAATTAGCATCTTTACAATAATCATGCTTCCTTCTGGGGCTATGGTATTTCTCTTGATTTATCTCAGTAACCTTGAGATTCTCAGTAAGGTTTTGTAGTTATTTTCATATATGTCTCTCATTTTTTCTTAGGTTTTCAAAATAATTATCTCCAAATAATATTTTTGTACTTCTCATTTCAAAAATGGTATATTTCCCTTGTTTCACTCCCTGTTATATTTAGTTTTCTATTCATTTATCATGAATTCAATTTTCAACTCTTGAGTTTTTGTACCTTTTCTTTCACTGTATGCAAACTTGACAGTAGTTTTTATCAAATTCGCCTTTATTAGGCTTCGATCTGGACTAACTGTTCTTCCCAAGGACCCCTTCCTCTCTGTCCTATAGGGGCCCTCTGCTTCCTAGATTTCATGTCATTTTTTTCTTGATGTCTCTAATCAGACCAAAGCTTATATGGTCTTTCACCATTATGACCGAGGTGCTGACAGGGATAAATGAGGGCCAACTTGTGATCAAATGGAGCTAGGTTAATTGGGACTTCTAAGTTAAAAACAGTAAAACTGGCGCCTACTTCACAATACAGAGAAATCAATCTCAGGTGGACAATAGATATAGATGTAAATGTGGAAGGTAAACATAAAGCTTCTAGAAGTTAAAAGAATTCTTCATGAACTCAAGATATAAAAGGGTTTCCTCAACAAGACACAAAAAGCGCTAGACATAAATTTAAAATTAAGAATGCTTGCTCTTCAAAAGACACTATAAAAAGACAGTAACAACATGCCATAGAGTAGAAGAAATGCTTAATATATTTAACTTAGGACTAGTATGAAGAGTACTGAAGAGTATGTGAGAACTCTCCAAATCAATAGGAAAAAGATAAGCAACCCAAAAGAAAGATGAGCAAAAAGCAAGCACTACATAAAAAAGCAAGTAACCCAAAAGGCCAGTAAACACACAATAGTGCCCAATTTTGCTACAAAGACAAAATAAGACACAAGGACATTCCATTACCCTCAGATTAATAAGAGTGTACAAGTCTGGCAATAGTTACTACTGGCAAGAATATGGGAGCAAAATGAGCACATACACACCGCTGGTGGGAATATAAACAGGTGTGATGATTTCAGAGATCAATTTAGCCTATCTGTGCAAGAATAAAGATTGGCAGCTCCATTCCCAGGTAAATACGCTGAAAAACTTCTGCCCATGTGCCCTACCTGACATAGTATGGAATGTTTATGACAGTTTTGTTTGTAAAAACTGAACACTGAAACTAATTCAGGGTCCTCGAACATGAGAACAAATAAAGATTTTACAGAGTCAAATAGCGGGTAGTTCATATAGCTACCTAAGCAAACTACAGTCATGAGCAACATCAGTGAATTCTACAAATAATGTTCAGGATAAAAAGAATACATACTATATGAATACATACAGAATACAGAATACGTATTATATGATTCCCGTTGTTGAAAGTGGACAAAACTAAAGTATATTCATCATAGGAATATCAATCTATGTGATAAGACTATGCAAGGGAATAATGAATCCAAATTCACAGTAGTAATTATCTTAGTAGCACGGGATGGAAAGGAGATGCAATTGGAGAGAGGGATACAATAGCCTATGAAAGGTACTGGTAATTCAATTACCAACGTGGGTGGTGGGGATTCAGGAGTTCCCTTTATGAAGCCATCCATGTACATTATATAGTCATCCCTTGGCATCTGTGGGTTCCATAACAATGGATTCAACCAACCCCAGATCAAAAATATTCAGGGAATAAAAAAGGATGGTTGCATCTGTACTGAACATGTACAGATTTTTCCCTTTTTATTCCCCAAATACTACAGTATAACAACTATTTATATTCCATTTATATTGTCTTAGGCATTATAAATACTCTAGAGATAATTTACAGTATATGGGATGACATGCATAGGTTATGTGCAAATACTATACTGTTTTAGATCAGGGACTTGAACATCCATAGATTTTGGTATTTGTGGGGGTTCTGGAACCAATTCCCTATGTATACCAAGGGATGGGTGGATACTCTTGTATCCTATGTCATAATAACATTTTTTTAAAAACACTTAGAGTCTGCACATCCCTCCTTATATCTCTGCAGCTCAAAAACCACCCTTGCCTACCCTGGAGAGTTTACTTTCTAGCGTGAACCCAGAACACTCCTGCCATGGGAATGCAGGCATAGCAGACTTTGCTGAGGTGAGCGGTGAAGTGCAATTTTTATACAGACAATGAGACCCTCAATCCCCTTTTCTTTCTCAGCTCTAAACTGATTATCATATTCTTTATCTGCCATGCCATTAAGCCTAAAGGAACGATTTTAAGGTATCCTGTGCCAATCCTGGGTATGGCTAACAGGGCATAGATTTTGTCTTTCTCCAATGGCATTGATGGCTGTTGCATCCCTGTGCCTGCTACATTCCCTCCTTGGCTAACCCACATCATTCATGTTTTCCCAGAAGTTCACAGCAGTTACATCTGTCATCATCATCATAGGTTTAACTTTTGGCTGAGCCAAAAGTTGGGCTTTTCTGCATATAATAAGATGTTAACTTTAAAAACACAGACTATGGTAAAAACACAGTATTATAATTTTGCTTTGGAATTTGAACATGTGATAAAATAGTCACAAAAAGTCAAAACTTACCTCTGCCACTTCCTTTTGAAAAGTCAAAGTCATCTGAGTTCTGCCATAAACGAAAGGTCCATCTCTACAAGACATGCTTTCAAGCCACTTGATAATCAGTGGAGTTGAAACACTAAAAGGCAGATTTCCAATAATATGTACATTTGGAGGATCTGGTGGCAGAGGAAAAAACAACCTGAAATAATTCCGTCAATATATTCTGAAGACAATTTCAATTACGACATAATCAAACTGGTTATTAAGAGCATCAAACAAAAATTGATAGATATGGCTGAGTATTTTTAATTTCATTTATTATTTGAAAGCAATGCTTTCTCACAATCAAATGTGGATAACTGAGGAAAAAAATATACTTATTACTGCTCAGTTACTCAAAGAATGTCCTTGAATTTCTGGCCTAAAAAATACATGAAAAAGAGTTTGAGGAAAAATAATTTATGAGAATTTATATTGGACACAATAAGGCTAAAGTGCCTATGGGACATCTCGATGAAGCTGTCAGAAGTCAGATGCCCAGGAAGGAGATACAGGCAGAATATGAAGATGTGAATGTCTGCAATACATCATAGGTGGTAAGTGAAGCCACAGGAATGGAGTAATCCGGAAAATCTGCCCAAAAAGAAAAATCCAAGAAACAACCATATGTACAAAGTGGGTAGAAAAATAACCACCAGCTAAGAATAGTTAGAAAAAGTTCACAAATGTAAAAGGAAACACAGGAGGGCGTGGTAACAGGGAGGACAGGAGCAGAGAAATCCTCCGGAAGACTGTGGGAGAACTGTCAGGTAAGGTTTGAAACAGGCACTGTGATTCCAGCTTGGCTGGGCTGGGGCAGAAATCTGAAGTCTGCACGCTAAGAACAGCAGAGACCATTAGCTGGCGGAGACTGCAAGTGCGGTCCACTCTGGAGTGTGGTCACTGGGAACACCAGAGACATGGAGGCAGCCAGATGTGGAGGTGTCCTAAGCACTCCTCCATTGGTTCTGAAAGTTTGTTATAGGAAGAAACATACCCTATTTATCTATGCATTCTGAAGGGCTGCACATAGCAGGTACCTAATAAACATTGTGAATGAAGACTGCCTTGGTCATTGAATGTGAAAAATAACAGAAAAAGTTAAAACAAAGGCTTGGGTATGGTTTAGTTTACTAAAGCACTTCTTTTCTTTTTTTAGATGGAGTTTCGCTCATTACCCAGGCTGGAGTGCAATGGCACGATCTCGGCTCACCGCAACCTCCGCCTCCTGGGTTCAGGCAATTTTCCTGCCTCAGCCTCCCGAGTAGCTGGGATTACAGGCACGCGCCACTGTGCCCAGCTAATTTTTTTGTATTTTTAGTACGGGGTTTCACCGTGTTGACCAGGATGGTCTTGATCTCTTGACCTCGTGATTCACATGCCTATTTGCACAGAATCCAAAACATTTGGAAATTTTAGACAAATGAATTAGAATTAAGAAAAAGCAACCAAATATATAATTTGAAAGCAAGTAGCATTAATTCTGTTCAGATAATTTTAAATAGAAATGTAAGACTTTAAAAGAATATATAATAAACACTTGTGATTTAAATAACTATAAAATAAAATATTTTATAATTACCCAAAAGCACTTACCATCTTCCCAGGGTCTTTTAAGACTTTCTGGAAAAGCCTTTTCTACTTTAAATGTCAATACATCTCCATGAACAATTCTCAGCTTCCCAGGTGCTGCATCAGAAAGCATCTAGTTTATAAAAAGATCAGTAAAATGAGCTCATAACTTGTGAAAATAACAAAACTAAACTTTTTAAACCTGTGCATTTAAAAAATCAGTTCAAAAAAGCCAGAGACCAGGGGTGATCATTAATGAACAAACAGTACATCAGGTAGTGTTTCACTCTAACATGCACAAATAATTAGGGATAGTAACAAATAGTACAATGCTAGCTTACAATTTTACAAGTATATTGTGTAATTTTGACCCTAAATGACTTCTATTTCTGTAGAGACTTAGCATAAACTCACTCCTATCAATAAGTTTTTAAATTAGAGACTAAGGACATTCTCATGAAATACTGAGAACTAATCAGGAGTCAACCATATGAAAGATGAGCTAAATTTAACTAAGTCTGTATAGCCTAAATATATATATAAAGGATTCTATATATCATCAAGACCCTTTAACTTAATAAACAAGAAGATTTAGCCAAGTAGAAAGTCATGGGTCAATGCCAGTCTCCACTTGGCACTCTGAGACACTCCTCTGACCAGAGCATCCCTCATCTTAGTATTTGTTGATCCACAGCTCCTACTGGCCTAATGAATAACACTGGATGTCTTAACAGTAGCTACTTTCCAGCCTATTTCCACCTTCTAACCATTTGTTTGCTTTCTTCCCTTTTCCTTCTGTCTTTGTGAGCAAAAAGGAATAAAAAAAAGTCCCTGTAGTCTTTTTCTTCTTCATTCCATCTACCCTACCACCGCACTCTCACAGTACTCAAGTGTTGGCACTTAATTCAAAAGAACTTTAATAACACAGTTCTTTTGTCATCTATAAATTCATATTGTGTTAAGTGCCCCTGTACCCAACACAAAACTTGATTCTTGAAGTCCTTGGTTAAAAGAAACAAAAAAAAAGCAGTTTCGGACCTTATACATTTTAAAAGGCAGGCGTGAGTGCATCAATGAGAAGAAACATCACTGCTAAGGTAGATTTCAAGGGAAGAAGTGACTCCCTTCCCACACTAAATCAGAGCTCAGAGAACTCTGGCTTCAACTCAGTTGCCAAGATTCTAGAATGTGCCCAGCACTTAATAGGGATGGTAAACAGGCTCAAAAGAGAACACCTGCCCGGAGCCTACCTTGGTCCTAATTCTCTGGGTCCATTAAAGCTGTTTTTTTTTTCTCCTAACACTCTCCCCACTTGCCCAACTCATATAATCAAGAGGGAGGATGAACAAGATGCTCACAGAAGCCAGAGAGAAGGCACTGGACCAAGACACACGGTTTGTGGACTGGTCCGCCTTTGCATCAATACTGTGCTGTGAACCTGCCTCTTCATAGCACTTACAGACTCTATCTCAATTTCTGCTGCAACAACAATATGCTCTTTAAGGGCAGGACCCGTTTCCTATCTACCTTTATAGCCGAAGTAGCTACAACAATGTACATATTTAAGAAATGCATGAATAAGTGAATGACCAAATGCCATTCAGGTATCTGTAAAGCTGAAAACTTTCTCTTTTAGCCTGGGAGATTTTGGCTCCCCAAATCTGTAGGGTCTAGAAATTTGCAAAGATTTACTTTACAAGTGAATCAGGCAGATTTACACAAATAATCTTTCAGAAATACATAGCTGAAATGCCTCTACTAATAAGAGGCTAAACATATTTTAAGTATGGAAATCATCTAGTTTGATATGTTTAGCCATGGTAGTTTAGCAAAAATAATTGCATACCTCTGGTATTACTGTACTTATGGATTATTTTAAATTACCACGAGTTATTAAAACTTGACCTGGTGAGTTCCAGGCAATAAGTCTTAGAAAATGTAACAATTTCAATACACTAAAAATTTAAAAAGAGACAGCTCTCTATGTGGCATGCTCTTAATGTATAAAACCAAGTGGATTGTCAATGGAAAATGCTAAATTTTTTTCTATAATTATTTTTCACAAAATTAAAACGAAGTAAATTAGTGTGCCAAAAACAAAGAGGCAGAATTGAAAGCTTATGTCTCATGATGTTAATATATAGAAAGTATTTAATAATTAGTGTTGGGACTAAAACACCACAAAACAATGTAAATTTGGTTATTTGGCATTAACTTATATGTTCTGATAACCACATTTGAAACATTAGCTTTTCCCACCCTGACAGATACAACTTCATACCTACCTAAAAGCTAATATAATACAATAGAAATAAATTTACCTTCCTTTCCTATATTTTCTTTTTTTGTTTGTTTTATTTTTGAGATAGAGTCTTGCTCTGTTGCCCAGGCTGGAGTACAGTGGCACAATCTTGGCTCACTACAACCTCCGCCCCCGGGGTTCAAGCAATTCTCTTGCCTCAGCCTCCCTAGGAGCTGGGATCACAGGTGTGCTCTACTATCATGCCTGGCTAATGTTTGTATTTTCAGTACAGATGAGATTTCACCATGTTGTCCAGGCCAGTCTCAAACTCCTGACCTCAGGTGATCCACCTGCCTCAGCCTCCCAAAGTGCTGGGATTACAGATGTGAGCCACCGTGCCTAGCGCCCCTTTCCTAGGTTTAAAACTGCATTTCTATTACATTTCTTTTGGATTCCCATTCACTTTTCAATCTCAGTCAAGGACAAATCAATTTCTCCTCACACTTTAAAAGGTGCACCTCCTCGACAATTTGTAGCCTGATCTACTTTGCAACTCCCCACTACAGAAGAAATGAATGCTGGTGTTAACAGATTTATGTGACGTCCTTAAAGCAATTATGGGCAAAAAGTCCTAGACAGACTAAATTGATAATATGATTACAGACAGTACCCTTTAAAACACTTAAAATATTAAGCAATGACACACAAAGACTTTCTAGCCAACCAGTAACAGAAATGGTTCCTACCCCTCCACCATACCCCACCATAATGATATGTGGGGTATGGTGGAGGGGTAGGAAAAATCACTATTATATTCCTTCAAGAATAACAACCGAGCATCACACTTCAAAACCCTGGAGGTGTTATCACAGAATGTGCTTAAAGGCACAGACAATCACAAATGCAGACCCCAGATTACAGCCAAATGAGTATTTTTACAGACACTCTCAAACTGTTCTTTCATTTTTATTTTAGTGTTCAATTCTATGTTCTTCCAAAATGAGATGTATGCCAGTTTAGAGTAAAAGGCTTCATTAAATAAGGCTATAAAAGAAGAAACAGAAAGCCAAACCATGAAAAGGGGAAGTATATATGTAAAACACAAGATTTAACAATCCTAATAATCATTAGAAATTTTATGCTAGCTCTCATGATTTACATAATGAAATTTATAATTTTTTCTTTCCAATAGTTATACCAAGCCTCCAAGAGGTAAATTTTTTTCCTGGCATTATGTTAGTAAAGGGTACATGAAACCATGTAATAAACAATGCCTTTAATAAAAGTTAAAACACAAATGTAGATGCATTCTTTCTGTGGCCATTAAAAAACATCTCTCCTCTAACCAAAGTCTTAGTGAAAGCTCTTCTGCAGGGGACAGGTAACTGCGGTTCGGCTAGGCAGCTTTTTGGTGATTTTATTGGATGAGAAAAGAATCCACGCAATTCTCAGAACTTGTACAAAATTATCAATTCCTTAAGAAAAAGAAATACATCGAATAGCCATTTTGTATATTTTATGTCACCTTCTGAAGTAAGGGGCTCATGGCAGCCACTACTATAGTTACATTATCTTCTTCCTGATTTGCCACATAGTAGGACAGAAATGCTGTTGAAATAAATATTTTAAAAGGGCTGGGCAAAACTGTTATGCAAACTGTATGAAAAAAAAGAATCTATAATATAAAATACAGTAGGTGAAAGATAAAATTTTTCTTCTTATATGTAACACATATAAAAGACTGCTGCTATTTATTCATAAAAAAGTTAAGATAATGTTACAACAGACTTTTCAGACTTTTAGAGGGAAGGTTATAGCATGATGTCAAAATGTCAGTTAGCTTGCTTTATTCTTTTTTTAGTATGTAAAATAACATTAAAAATGTACATCTTCAGACTTGCTCAGTATTTTAAATTTATGAACAGAGCAAAAACAAACAGAAATCATCACATAACCACTCATATCTTAAATGATACTACAAATATCTAAAAGTATAGGAATTTTAAGTTTGTTGGACATTCCAATGTCATTACCAAATCTTTCACTCTCTTTTTTAAATTTGATATTAGATTTGTATTAGTCCGTTCCCATGATGCTAATAAAAATATACCTGAGACGGGTAATTTATAAAGGAAAGTTTAATTGACTCACAATGCAGCACGGCTGGGAGGCCTCAGGAAACTTACAATCATGGTAGAATAGGAAAGTAAACATATCCTTCTTCAAATGGTGGCAGCAAGGAGAAGTGCCAGCAAAAGGGAGAAACACCCCTTATAAAACCTTCAGATCTCATAAGAACTCATTCACTATCATAAGAACAGCAGCACCAGGGCAACTGCCCCATGTTTCAATTACCTCCCACTGGGTCCCTACCACAACACAAGGGGATTATGGGAACTACAATTCAAGATGAGATTTGAGTGGGGACATAGCCAAACCATATTGGATTTTATTCTATTTATGTTTTACTTTTAATTGACACATAATAGTTATGTGTTCTCACCACAAAGAAATGATAAACATTTGAGGTAGATATGCTAATTATCCTCATTTTATCATTATACACTGTACACAATGTATAGGTATGCTAACTACACAATCTTCTTCCTTAGACCAATGTATAGGTATGCTATATTGCACAATCCTCTTCCTTAGGCCAAGAATACTGAACCAAATTTCATGCTTTTCTTGATGACCTGGGGTCACTGTTGCCTTTAGAATAATGACCTACGCCAATTATGATATGCTTGTACACATGTGAACAATAATATGATAAAATTAGGATAATTGTCATATGCACTTCAGTTATCATTTCTTTGTGGTGAGAACATTCAAAATCCTCTCTTCTGGCTATTTTGAAATACACAATATATTGTTGTTAACTATAGTCACCTACTGTGCATGGAACAGTATTGCACAATAGAACTTATTCCTCCCATCAACTGTAACTTTGTATCTGTTGACCAGCCTCTCTAACCCCACCTCCCTTTCTTGCTTTTTAAGCAGGACCTGAATGCCTATGTATAGTACACACTCATTTACCCAGCCTCATCAAGGAATTAGATGTTTGATTTAGTAAATTTTCTGTTCAGTAAATATTTATTCTTTTAAATATTAACATTTTTAAAGAAGACATATACAGAAGAAAATCCTTCTAGACTATATTGCAGAATCCTCTCCCTTAGGCCAAGAACACTGAACCAAATTTCACCCTTTTCTTGATGACCTAGTGTCACTGCTGTCTTTAGAATAATGACCTCAAGAGTTATGAAGGTGTTTTTGCTACTTTATTATTGTTTCTTCTGCCTTTACATTAGTCTTTTATAGCTTTCTGTCACTGTAATAACTATAACTTCTTGCAGTTGTCAGTGGGCCTGCTTCTACCACTGGTCTCTGTATTTCTACTTTGCATGGACTAGAAAATCACTTTGGCTGTAAGCCACTTTTTGCTTATTCGTTGAGTTTTGTGTATGTTATGATTAACTATGGTTACATCAAGTAAGTTACATGAATAAAGTTAGTGGTTATGTCACAACAGCAAGGTAGGCAATCTTCCTTTTTTAAAAATTTGTTAGAGATTAAAGAATTTTTTTCATTGTCTCTAATTAAAAATAGCTCTTTCTGCCTGGATGCTGAAATTACTTTATATGACTCTTTATAAGATGAAAGGAAGGAGAACAATTAAAATAGCAACTATTTACTAGGTACTGGCATTGTGCCAGGCTCTTTACATCCATTTCTATCCGTCTTTGCAAAATCGACAGAAGAGAACTATTATTCCCATGCTACAGATGAGAAAGTTCAAACTAGAAAAGGTTCAACAGCAAGCTCAGGTCACAAAGCTAGTAGGTATCTGAGATTTGGTCACTAGACTATTTGACACTCAATCCCATGAACTTTCCACTATGTCTACGAAGTAGAAATAATCAGTGTTTACCTATAACAAAACCCAAACGTTGGGAGGCTGAGGGTGAACATCACCTGAGTTCAGGAGTTCGAGACCAGCCTGGCCAACATGATAAAACCCAGTCTCGACTAAAAATACAAAAAATTTGCTGGGCATGGCGGTGGGCACCTGTAATCCCAGCTGCTCAGGAGGCTGAGGCAGGAGAATCACTTGAACCTGGGGGGCAGAGCTTGCAATGAGCCAAGATCATGCCACTGCACTCCAGCCTAGGCAAAGGATGAGCCCAGGAAGTGAAGGCTGAAGTAAGCTGTGTTTCACTTCCTGTCAGAGACCCTGTCTCTGTCTCTCTCTTTTTCTCACACACATACACACACACACACACACATAATCGTACACAAATCTTTAATTTGTATATTTTCAATATGTACAGTTATACTGAGCATCAATTATATCTCAATAAATATACTTTGTTTTACAGCTGCTGATAAAGACATTCCCAAGACTGGGCGATTTACAAAAGAAAGAGGTTTAATTGGACTCACAGTTCCACATGGCTGGGGAGGCCTCACAATCATGGCGGAAGGCAAGGAGGATCAAGTCACATCCTACTTGGATGGCAGCAGGCAAAGAGAGAGCCTGTGCAGGTAAACTCCCATTGTTAAAACCATCAGACTTTGTGAGACCCATTCGCTATCATGAGAACAGCACTGCAAAGACCCACACCCATATAAAGTATTTAGTGTGATAAACTCTCCAGAAATATTAGATATTATTATTTTTAATATATAATAAACAGTCCAATCTTCTGGCTTCCCTGGGTCACAACAGAAGAAAAATTGTCCTGGGCCACACATAAAATACAGTAACACTAAGGACAGATGATTAACTTAAAAAAATTGCAAAAGAATCTTATAATCTTTTAAGAAAGTTTAAGAATTTGTGTTGGGCCACTTGCAGCCCGTGGGCCACAGGTTTGCTGTAAAAGAAATGGAAAAAAACAAATGAGGGGGAATTTGGATTACTTATCTGAAGAGGTATAAATGATTTATGAATTTATCTCCAGTTCAGAAATGGGGAAGAACCTATCAAAGCTTCAAATCCCCTGAGATGTCAGGAAATCCCACTCCCCTTCACAGCACAGAGAACCCAGTCAGTCATAAAAATGTAACAAGAAACAACAAAAAACTTTAAAACCTAAAAATGCACAATCAGAATGTGACAACATTACAAAAAGAAACCCTAGGTGTCCAATGCAAGTTTGATGAGTTGGAGATGCCCCAATGTTTCCATAGCACTGGGGAATGTTTTAGTGCTCAGTGGAATAACATCACTTCCTCCTACACCTCTTTCCAGATTAGTGGTCTCCTGATCAGTCACTAATCACCAGAGGTAATGAAAGCATAAAAATAATAATTTAACTTATTATTTATAACTAAAATATCACTGAGTGCTTCCTAAGTATCAGGCATACACTTCATCCTCATAAGAGTCCTATCAGCAAACTGAGGCACAGAGGACAAAATTACCCACCCAAGGTCACCCAACTAGTAGTAGAATTTGAAGTCAAACCCAGACAGTCTGATGCAGAAGTCTGTCTTTACCATAAAACTATACTAAACATACTGGACATGTTTTCTTACCTTTATAATGTGCTGTCAGTGAAACTTTTATGTTAGCACCAGTTCTTCTTTCCCCTAAGCTGCCTCATGAAAAAACTGTAGGAATTAAACTAAGCTACAAATGACAGGCTTTCAGCTAGAAGGTATTTTATAAATTATTATAATTTCTTTAAAAAGTAATTCTATTAGCTTAGAAATCACTAAAATGGAATCCTTAAAATAGATCACTTTCTTTCTGCTTCTACTCAGTTTTATGATTAATTTAGTACCTCTAAAAGAAAGGAGTTTTATATATTGAAACATTCCTTACTGGGGAAAAAAGGGCCTATTTGATATTTTAGTACTCAACATTTCTTTTTAAGGCAAATTCCTTTCCTGCATAGAAGATTCAAATAATTATTTTGCTTCTACTGAAAACAAATGAGAAGTCAAATATACTTTTCCTGAAGACTAATTTAACGTGAAATCAGCCTTCACATTTAGAAAAAAGAGCAATGCTACACAAATATTTACTTTCACTATTGAATGATACATTTAGTTTTCTAATATGAGAGATACATATACGAATACATGTTGAGAAATGCTGAGTGTATGATAAAATATATTGTTTGCTAAGAACGATGGCAAGGAAAACCTAGCCACCCCCCGTCCCCGCCCAGTGGAAAACTACTTGGGGCACTGTAAAGTAGCAAGACAGTATATTCATATCATCTACCAGTTAAAACAATTCTTTAAGCACAGGATATGTGACCCTGTCTCCGTGGCTCCCTCGTGGAGAATACTTTCTGGTTTGTCCTTAATCAGTGGTAAGCAGGCACCAGCTGCCTACCTAGTTTATCTTGGTTCTATGAGAAAACACAGAACACCTGTTTTTTTTAATAATAAACACCTGTTGAGAGAGACTAAGAACGTGGGTCAGACTCTGCTCGAGGCCTTCAGCCCAGAATGCTGTCAGCCCCAGAGGCTTTCAGCTTGGAAGGCTGCTAGTCCCCGACAGTCCCGCTTTGTTCTATCTGGGTGTCTGCTTCTTAATATCTTTAGTGCCGCCTGGGTGGGGGTCTTTACGGCCGAGCTGGTCTCGGTACTTACATACACAGATACAGAAATAGCCAGTCAACCTTTTGTTTCTTATGTGAGACATTTACTGAACACCTGCTATGTTCCAGGCACTGTTATGCAAGGTAGAGGTACAGCAGGAAACAAAACAGACACAAATCTCCACCCTCATGTTACTTTCTCCAGACAGGTGAGTCTGATAACAAACAAATGGGAAGAACATATATCAAACCCAAGATAAATCAAACAAGATGAAACAAGGCTGGGGTTAGGAATGCAGCGACTTAGGGGCTTGGGGGAAACTGAGAAGAGAAGGGTGGCAGTCACTCTTTTACTCAGTCCCCCTTCCAAGATCTTTTGTTCAGATCAGAGAGCAGAATACGTGGGAATAAACGGAAAACTGGTTCATCCCCTGGCCTGATAACAAAGAATAAACACAATGAATGGTGAGATTTGAGAAACAATAAGTCTTCTGAAGGGCAAAAAAGTCAGGTGAGTATTGCCTGTGTCCAAAAAGGGCTATGTGAATAAACCAGAAGGGGATTATACAGTTATTCAGTTTCTTTTCATAATCTCATGATCTCACCCCAAATAATAATATTCCCATGTCTACCTCCAACTGATAATTCTTAAAATTAGAATACAGTTAAAAACAAAAATCACTATTAAATTCCACATTTGATCAAGAAATATGTGCCATGTGACTAACTCAAAGTTTAAAATCTGAAACCAATTCTGTCAGTATAGACAGGCAAAACTAGATAAAAGGAAATACGTTATTTTTTAAGCATAAAAACTGGATAAAGCAACATTAGGAAAAAACTGCTATGTTTCTTAAAAAATCAGATACATGCACAAAAAGTTCTAAATTTTCAAAAAGAATCTCTCAAACTGTTCTGACATAAATTAACATTTTTCCATTAACATATATACAAGTTAGTATTAGAATGTACTAATTTTACATCCATTTGTCCTTCTGTATGGAAGCAATAATGTGGATAATTTCATTATTCTATTATAGTCACATAGTAAATTGCTTGTTCATCTGAGCCAAAGGTTCAGGGTTCTTTTAGAACTAGAAAGAAATCAAACTAAGGCCTTTAAGTCATTAAGTGCCCCCATGAGGAAATCCTTTTACAAGATCCCTGATATAATCTATTTCACTGCCAACATTTTAAAAAAGAAGTTCCTCCTTATTTCAAATCCTGAATCCTGCCTCCCTCAATTTCCACCTGTTTTAGTTTTTTTTCTGTTTGTTTGAGATTGAGTCTCCCTCCGTTGCCCAGGCTGGAATGCAGTGGCACAATCTTGGCTCACTGCAACTTCTGCCTCCTGGGTTCAAGCAATACTCCTGCCTCAGCCTCCCAGGTAGCTCAGACTACAGGCATGCACCACTAAGCCCAGCTAATTTTTTTTGTATTTTTAGTAGAGACGAGGTTTCACCATGTTGGCCAGGCTGGTCTGTTTTAGTTCTTTCTTAGAAAAGATCAAAACAAGCTTATCCTATCCACCACCAGCCTTGAATACGCAGTGGTATACACCCTTACCCAGGGCCTCTTTTCTCCAGCTGAAACATGCCCACTTCCTTCAACTTTTATTTCTCATACAATAACAGTACCTGCATGTTAAAGACGCATATATCATTTCATTTAAACCTCATCGTAAATCTATAAAAGTGCAGTGGTACAACTTCCTTCACTTAAAAAAAATTCTCTTAGAATGCTTAAGCTTAATAATTAGTCTCTCATGATGAAAAGCATGCATGTCTTATTCATCCTCTGTTTGTGGAAATGCTTTTTTGAACCTAAATGAAGTTCTCAAAAGTCATACCAATGAGTCATAACTGGCCATTATTTATGTTTATTTCTGAAGGAATGGGCCATGAGATGCACAGCTATTAGTAGACTTAAAAAATCACAGAAAACAATTAGTGTGTTTAGCATAAATGTGTAAAGCAGGTTTATTCAAGGTGTAGTCAACAGACCATCTGGGAGTGCTTGTTAAAAAATATGAAGATTTCTAAATTTCTCCAGATGGCAGAATCAAAATCTCTGGAATGGGGCCTTGGGGATCTTTAGTTGAGGGACAGACAACCTACATAATCTTTAGATACCCTGGCGTTTAAGCATCATGACATAAAGATTTAAATTCAGCTTCTGCCTCCTAAAGAAGACACTTTAAGGATCTCACCTGCAATCCAGGAATAAATCGAGTGTCCTTTTCAACCACCAGAAGTTCAGCAACACTGGCATTGAGAATGGATCTTGTGATACCCCCTGGCCCAGGGCCGACTTCGTAAACATAAGCATCTGTCAGATTGCCGGCTTTCCTTACAATTTTATCTGGAGGAAAAACAGTTTTAGTTATCTCAATTAACTTGGCAAATCTCAATGTATGAAATTTAGAAAAATTTTCTATGAAAATTCAGCCATTACCCAATCAATTGATCTTATATATATATTTATTTGACTATCTAACTTTCAACCTAAATTGACATCAAGTGGCCATTCAATATGCTACCACATCACTGTTGAACTGTACTAGTCCCTTAACAAAAACAGGATTATCATGACAAAGTTTCTTAACTTAAATTTAGCTAATATTGTGGTTTCTGTTTGTTCCGTGCAAATTTCTTTCAAATTGATTTGAAACCCACCAACTCCTAAGAACAGATTGTATAAGCATACAGCACTTTTCTACAGTTGCTGAACACTGAATATTTGAATAAGCAACACTAGTTTCACATTCAGAATCTTCAGTATTGCCAGTGAAATCCAAAAGCAAAAAGTGCTGGAAGTCTCCATTTTTATCTGGAGACATCTTGATGGTCAAAATGGCAATTCTTAGATCATAACATTTTCAGAAATTTGAATTCTTACTCATCTTCACGAAAAAGTTAAATTGAGTAGTTGAGGGTTTTTAAAGCTTTGCAAACATGCATGTTATTAAGGAAAAATTAATTTTTTAATGAAATTCAAGTTAGCAGTCCTTAAGACATCATAAAAAAGCAGTCTTGACTCAGTGCAACCAATCATCACATCTGGAAAAACAAGCAATGAGCTGGTCTTAGTGAGTTAGAGATATGGAAATCCAAGGAACTGGTCTTCCTAGGATAGTGGAAATTTAGTCACTAAAAACATACCAGCACTTCCTCTAAGTGTTCACAGTCCTATTTTTGCTTGTTATCAACAACATTATCTTTGTAGGCTAAAAAGCAGAATCTAGTTTCTCAACCATCCAAAAATGGTTTAGTCTTTTAACAGGGAGGGAATTAGTATCCACTGACCATCTTATCTGTTACGGGTGATGTACACACATTCTCACCTAATCCTTACATGTTTACCAAGGACTCCTATCCCAGTTTAATTTCTCTTGACTTTTCAGTTTCCTTGCCTATTGTTTCACTTGGACAAGGTCATGGACTTCAACACAGGTATAAATGCTAAAGCCAATGCCTCTCAGAGGGAACAGGAATGATACATTAAGCACATTAAGGAATGAATTTAATATTCTTACTTTTTTAAATGGAGAGCTACAACAGTAGGCAGGTTTCCGATCTCAAACTTTTCAGGCACATTCAAATACAAATGAATATTAAAGAAGCACTAACAAATCAAGGAGTCTGGATTCCAATCTTGCTCTCTTCTCCCTGAGCGTCTAACCTCAGGTAAGTACCCTCATCTCCTTTAACTTTGGTTCCCATAGACAGAGTGGAAACTAGAATTAAATTTACTCCTGATGTTAAAGTCTCATGAGAAAATGTGTATGTAGGATTTCTAAAAATAGACAGACCTATAACTTCTGCCTTGAGACTGGTTATTTATATTTAGAAGGTGGCTAGTAACAAGTAGAAAAGGCTGGCACTAGTTAGTACTAGAACCAAAGAGTTTTAGAGTGGGTAATCCTTTAAAGTAGTAGGCCCTTATTCCAATTAAAAGATGAGAAAAGAGTTAATTTATTTTATCCAAAGTCATACTGCTACAGGCAGAATAAAGATTTTCCATGTCCAAGAAATAAAACATTTTATGTTTTCTGGAGTGTGCTTCATTTAACTGAAAATGAACTTTTGGGGTGTGATTTACTGCTCCTTTCAACTTCTGAAATGGGGCCTAATAGAATGAAACATGAAAATCCCCAAACCTAAGTACTCCAGCAGTGGCTTAGTGGACATATTTGCAATATATTTTTGCAATCTCATCTCATAGAAAAGAACATCACGAAGCAAAGGTGACGGTGGTTAAACGAACATATATTAATAATTCTTCAAAACTCATCAAATTGAGCACTTCAAACTGGTGAATTTTATTGCATGTAAGTTATATCTCATAAAAAACTTTATTCGGTGTGGGAATGTAAACTTGCTAAAAGTAAGCTCCTCTAGGAAACACTGCCTGTTCACGCCCATATCCTATCCCCTGCACCGGCACAACGTTGCTTGCGTAATATGTACTTATGAATATTAGCGCCCTCGAGGATTTCTTAGACGCAACAGGTAAACGTTTAAATAACGAATCCTACGAGGGATACTCTTTTCACCAAGTTATTGATAAAATCGTCGCACCAATTTAAATTCCGATAACTTTAAGCTGCATATAAAGCAAGTCCAGTCAGCCTGTGGTGTACTATTTCAGAGTGATGGATTTCATAGAGACCTAGATTCCAATATTCACCAACGCCTTTCACGACACACGAACCCTTCCTGCCCTAATGAGCTCGGCGTCTACGCCGCCTGCCTTCAGGCTACACTCCCCTGAAGGCGGAGTTGTGTGAGCAATCAACGCACTTCCCGTGTCTCCTGGGCGGTGGGACCGGAGTTCTTTTGATACAATGAAGTCGAAGGACTTCACCAAAAGCCCGTCGCATACTAGTGGCTGGACACCCGCCCACCCGGCCCGTGCGAGACACCCCCAGCCGACGTCCCCAGGGACACCTAGGAGACATCCGATAAGCACGGCTAAGCCATCCACCTGTCAGCCTCAAGTCCAGGAGGAAATTCTGTGATAGCTGCTTCGCTGCTTGCAGTCTGAACAACTTAATGATTTCTCGAATCGAGGGCAATGGCGGGAGACGGAAAGTGCTGAGCTTCCCGGAGGCAGCCATAAGCCCCAGCAAGCGCCAGCCAACCCTGCCTCACTCGGGGCCTTCCCCGCCGCTTGGAAAACAACTCCCAAGGAACTTGCGAGACCTAAGTCCCGCCTCAGACCTTCCCCGCCGGAAGCGATGACCGCGGACAGGAAATCCGGGCGTTCTGAGAGCGCATGCGCTACGTCTCGCTGAGTGCAGAGCAGGCTGGGTGCGCGGCGGCTTCCGGATGCGAGGGCGGTGGAGGAGCGGAGTGGGCGAGGCTTCTCCGGGGCGGGCAGTAGAGAGCGCGCCCAGGAGGGCAGGACGAGGCGGGGTCTGAGCAGGGTGGGGTTTTTCCGGGGAGTTGCTTTGAGGTTTGGTGCCCCGGGTTTATTCCCGCCGTGAAGTTCCCAGAGGCGTCCGGCCCTTAGACGTTCCAAAAGCATATCTGAATATTAGAGGGAAAGCGGGTGCTTAGAGGCTAAGCTGTTGTTTGTTAGCAATTCTTATGGTGAGGTGTTTTTAGAACCTCGGCTCTGCAGATGCTGCATGGCGGGTTTTAACTTCGCTCAGCCTCCGTTTTTTCATCAGTTAAATGGACCTAACGTCTACCTAAAAATTGTGAGCACTGAGAGAGATTGCCTGGTGTGCACATTCAGAACATAGTGCACGCAGGGCATTGATTAAGTGATCAATGGTGGCCATTATAATATAATTATTTGGCAGATGAAGAATTGGCCAGTGTAAAGAGGTCATTTGATTTGCTAGGATTACAGCTAAGAAAAGAGAGAAGACTCAAATATGAGTTCTGTCCTTCCATTATACCAGATAAAACAAAGAAGCAAAGAAAAATATTAAAGTCTCTCTGATAGATTGGAGAATTTTGCTCTTTTAACCCTGCTTATAATTTGCACATTGATGCATTGATCACAAATGAATCTAAAACTTTTTGTTAGTAAGTTTTTTTAAAAAGCTAATGGAAAATGAAGTACCTATGGGTGTGCTATAGAAATGAGGAGTGCTTTGAAATTCCGGTGGAAAACTCAACCACTTTCTATAAAAGCTATTTTAAAAGGAACTGAGAGAGTCTCATAGCTTTAAAAAATAGTGGTGACTGTCATAGAGGTAAGGAGATTTGCTGAATGTGCCATCAAAATGCGGACTGAAAGTACAAACTCTTGATTCAGAAATCTTATTGTCCGCAACACTCTATACCTGAGAAGGCATTCATTCACCGTTGTGTTCCTTGTTTCCCGTACTCCTCACAGTGGCCTTATGTGAATGAGATTATTATCCTTAGTTTGCCGTGAAAAAATAGAGGAGGTGAGGTCATTTGACTTGCCCAGAATCAGATAGCCAAGTACCAGAGAGAAGACAACCTGAGTTGTGTCATCTGAGTTCTGATCTCACTAGTCACACTCAAGTATCAGCTTATCATTTTTAAGTTAATATATTATTAATTTTGTAACATTTAGATATATAGAAATGCAAATCTAGGTGAAAACATAAGCTTACAGTTTTCATGTGACTATTTAAAACAACTGCAATAAATATATGCAAAACCAATACAAATGATCTTATTAATTGATAATGATGAACATTGTTAAATCTCTACACTGAGTGCTGACTGGTAGGATTCCTTTTTGTTGTTGTTAAGGTTCAGCCTACCAGTGATATGGTGTGCCATGTAATGACTGAATGTTCTCATTAGTTTTCTGGAGTCAAACTATTACCGAATCTTTGTTCAAAATTTTTGCCATTGTCGCTTGTCTTTCTTTTGGAATAACATGGAAGATGCATATTAAGTCTGCCTGCATCTGTTTTCAGTAGCTTGGAAACAAGTAAATTGGAATTATTTGACACTAATGCTATCATGAATATACACATTGCATGACAGATATAAAGAGGATATTCAGATGACCCTGAATGTAATCACATGAGGTTTTTAAAAGATTGACATCAACATAAAAACAAACTAAAATGTAAATGAGCAAAACAGCTTTGCATGGAGAGTTTGTAGATTCCTGATATTTTTTCCCCAGATCTAAAAATGAATTTATGGATGGCTTATATCATGCCATCTTCAATAACTGACATTTGTAAGATTATGACCTCTTATTTCTAAAGCATCCTCCTTTATTACTTAATTCTCATTTCAATTCTGCGATGTAGGTTCACAAAGGTATTCAGCGACTAACTCATTGTCACAGTGTATCTTAGTTCATTCCTGCTGCTATGACAAAATATCTGAGACTGGGTAATTTATAAAGAACAGAAATTTACTTCTCACAGTTGTGGAGTCTGAAAGTCCAAGATCAAAGAGCCGGCAAGTTTGGTGCCCGAAGGCTACTCTCTCTATCTCAAGATGATAGCATCTTGTCACTGCATCCCCAGGAAAAGAGGAATGTCATATCCTCACATGTCCAAAGGCAGAAAGGTGAAAAGGGATTAGCTAATTCCCTTCAGCTCATCATAAGGGCTCTACCCTCAATAAATTAATCACCCCCTCAAGGCCTCCTTGTCAATATACTATCACATTGGTGATTTAGTTTCAGCATGTGAATTTTGGGAGACATTCAGATCATAGCACAGTGCCAGTGAGTGGTGGAACTGAGTTTAGATCTTCAGACTCCACTGTGCTTTTTATTAACCTCTGATTTGTGTTAATTTTTTAACTGAGGTAAAAATTCCAGCTTAGGAGAATCTTCCAAGTTTTTAATAGTTCTTGAGATCCAATTTTTATCATCATCAATATCTAATCCTCGGTTTTTAATTTTCAGAAAATTATGCATAACTCCCTGCAAAAGCCTAAGAAATCAGCAGGGGGTGTTTTAGTAGTGTATTTCACATATTAATGCAAATGGTTTTATCCCTTAAAAGAGAGGTATGCAGTTTCATCAGTTTTGAAGCTTTGAAGTGTCTGCTTCATCTAGATACAGATTTTAATATGCTAAAATATTATAATTAATACAGAAATCACTAGCCCCACCTGTCAGTGAAGATGAAGAACTACAAATGATTCATACTAAACTATATTGCAGAATTCTAATTTGCATAAATCCCAGAATGGTTATATAGGAAAATACTTATTATTTTAGTATTTATTTTAATAAAGATGCATATGTGACTTTATTTGGTGTAATTTAGTGCCTATTTATAGAAAAAGTGCTAATTCTAAGAGGTTGTCATTTTACTATTCCCTGAAAAAGACTTGAAAGCTGCAGAGAGCAATATCTTTCTGCCATGTGGGAATTTTCAGAGAAAATTAAATGTGGCTTGGAATTGCCAAATTGAACTTTATAAAATGACTATTATGGTATGTAAAGTGCCCTTTTCTGATAGTATTTTATAATTACATATAATATGATTCAATGCTCCAGAGAAATATTAAGAGCTGCATTTTTGCACATATTTAGTTTGTTTTTTTTTTAATGGCTCTTTGATGCCCACTGTTCAAAAAGGAATCTAGTGACCTACCTAGAGGAAAGAAGGAAAAATGTGGTAACTGAGCAGACAGACCAAATGCTTATTCTGTGGGGATAGAAGTAGGACAACTTATGGCAACAGCACAAGCTAATTGCCTGAGGGAATCATGGAACACTTACACTATTTTTGAAAATACAGTGTTTATCCCCATTTCAAGCAGTATTTGAAAGCCTGTTCATTGTCCCTAAAGATTTGTGAGTTATTGTCAAGTATCCTAATGAGGTGTTGAGGATGGGCAACTCTTTCGACTCAGGAAGCTATGGGTAGGGCTTTTTCCGATTATACAGTAAAGCAAACCTTTTTGTGAATGAAGAAAATATGCTAACAGCATGATAAAATAATTCACCTTTATTATATAGGCACACCTTTGAGATACTATGGGTTCAGAACCAGACCACCAAAATAAAGTGAGAGAGATGAAGTTTTCGGTTTCCCAGTGCATATGAAAGGTATGTTTACATTCTATTTTTGTTTATTCAGTATGCAATAGCATTATGTCTACAAAAAATATGTGCATACCTTAATTAAACTACCTTATAGCTGAAAAAATGCTGGCGATCATCTGAGCCTTCAGTGAGTGTTAACCTTTTTGCTGGTAGAGGGTCTTGCCTTGACTTGATGGTTGCTAACTGATCAGGGTGGTGGTTTCTTAAAATAAGACAACAATGTATTTGTGCATCATTTGACTCCCTTTGTGAAAGATTTTTCTGTAGCAGACAATGCATTTTACCCATAGTAGAACTTCTTACAAAACTGGAATGAGTCCTTTCAAACTCTGTTACTGCTTTATCAACTAAGTTTACGTAATAGTCTAAATCTTGTATTGACATTTCAACAGTGTTCACAGCGTCTTCACCAGCAGTAGATTCTATCTCAGGAAATAACTTTCTTTGTTCATTCCTAGGAAGCAACTCCTCATTTGTTCAAATTTTATTTATTTATTTTTAAAAAAATTTTTTATTGCATTTTAGGTTTTGGGGTACATGTGCAGAACATGCAAGACAGTTGCATAGGTACACACATGGCAGTGTGTTTTGCTTCCTTTCTCCCCTTCACCCACATTTGGCATTTCTCCCCAGGCTATCCTTCCCCACCTCCCCCTCCCACTGGCCCTCCCCTTTTCCCCCCAATAGACCCCAGTGTTTAGTACTCCCCTCCCTGTGTCCATGTGTTCTCATTTTTCATCACCCGCCTATGAGTGAGAATATGCAGTGTTTCATTTTCTGTTCTTGTGTCAGTTTGCTGAGAATGATGTTCTCCAGATTCATCCATGTCCCTACAAACAACACAAACTCATCATTTCTGATTGCTGCATAATATTCCATGGTGTATATGTGCCACATTTTCCCAATCCAGTCTATCATCAATGGGCATTTGGGTTGATTCCAGGTCTTTGCTATTGTAAACAGTGCTGCAATGAACATTCGTGTGCATGTGTCCTTATAGTAGAACGATTTATAGTCCTTTGGATATACACCCAGTAATGGGATTGCTGGGTCAAATGGAATTTCTGTTTCTAAGGCCTTGAGGAATCGCCACACTGTCTTCCACAATGGTTGAACTAATTTACACTCCCACCAACAGTGTAAAAGTGTTCCTTTTTCTCCACATCCTCTCCAGCTTCTGTTGTCTTCAGATTTTTTAATGATCACCATTCTAACTGGCGTGAGATGGTATCTCAATGTGGTTTTGATTTGCATCTCTCTGATGACCAGTGACGATGAGCATTTTTTCATATGATTGTTGGCCTCATATATGTCTTCTTTTGTAAAGTGTCTGTTCATATCCTTGCCCAATTTTGAATGGGCTTGTTTGTTTTTTTTCCTGTAAATCTGTTTGAGTTCTTTGTAAATTCTGGATATCAATCCTTTGTCAGATGGGTAAACTGCAAAAATTTTTTCCCATTCTGTTGGTTGCCGATTCACTTTAGTGACTGTTTCTTTTGCCGTGCAGAAGCTGTGGAGTTTCATTAGGTCCCATTTGTCTATTTTGGCTTTTGTTGCCAATGCTTTTGGTGTTTTGGTCATGAAGTCCTTGCCTACTCCTATGTCCTGGATGGTTTTGCCTATTTCCTTGTAGGGTTTTTATGGTGCCAGGTCTTATGTTTAAGTCTTTAATCCATCTGGAGTTAATTTTAGTGTAAGGTGTCAGGAAGGGGTCCAGTTTCTGCTTTCTGCACATGGCTAGCCAGTTTTCCCAACACCATTTGTTAAACAGGGAATCCTTTCCCCATTGCTTGTTTTTGTCAGGTTTATCAAAGATTGTATGGTTGTAGATATGTTGTGTTGCCTCCGATGCCTCTGTTTTGTTCCATTGGTCTATATCTCTGTTTTGGTACCAGTACCATGCTGTTTTGATTACTGTAGCCTTGTAGTATAGTTTGAAATCCGGTAGTGTGTTGCCCCCACTGTGTTCTTTTTGCTTAGAATTGACTTGGCTATGTGGGCTCTCTTTTGGTTCCATATGAAGTTCATGGTGGTTTTTTCCAGTTCTGTGAAGAAAGTCGATGGTAGCTTGATGGGGATAGCATTGATTCTGTAAATTACTTTGGGCAGTATAGCCATTTTCACGATATTAATTCTTCCTAACCATGAACATGGAAGGTTTCTCCATCTGTTTGTGTCCTCTCTGATTTCGTTGAGCAGTGGTTTGTAGTTTTCCTTGAAGAGGTCCCTTATGTTCCTTGTGAGTTGTATTCCAAGGTATTTTATTCTTTTTGTAGCAATTGTGAATGGCAGTTCGTTCTTGATTTGGCTTTCTTTAAGTCTGTTATTGGTGTAGAGGAAGGCTTGTGATTTCTGCACATTGATTTTATATCCTGAGACTTTGCTGAAGTTGCTTATCAGTTTCAGGAGTTTTTGGGCTGAGGCGATGGGGTCTTCTTGGTATACTATCATGTCGTCTTCAAATAGAGACAATTTGGCTTCCACCTTTCCTATTTGAATACCCTTTACTTCTTTTTCTTGCCTGATTGCTGTGGCTAGAACTTCCAGTACTATATTGAATAGGAGTGGTGAAAGAGGGCATCCTTGTCTAGTGCCGGATTTCAAAGGGAATGCTTCCAGTTTTTGCCCATTCAGTATGATATTGGCTGTTGGTTTGTCATAAATAGCTTTTATTACTTTGAGATACATTCCATCGATACCGAGTTTATTGAGGGTTTTTAGCATAAAGGGTGTTGAATTTTGTCAAATGCCTTCTCTGCGTCAATTGAGATAATCATGTGGTTTTTGTTTTTGGTTCTGTTTATGTGGTGAATTAGGTTTATAGACTTGCGTATGTTGAACTAGCCTTGCATCCCCGGGATGAATCCTACTTGATCATAATGAATAAGTTTTTTGATTTGCTGTTGCAATCGGCTTGCCAATATTTTATTGAAGATTTTTGCATCGATGTTCATCATGGATATTGGCCTGAAGTTTTCTTTTCTTGTTGGGTCTTTTCTGGGTTTTGGTATCAGGATGATATTGGTCTCATAAAATGATTTGGGAAGGATTCCCTCTTTTTGGATTATTTGGAATAGTTTCAGAAGGAATGGTACCAGCTCCTCTTTGTGTGTCTGGTAGAATTCGGCTGTGAACCCGTCTGGACCTGGGCTTTTTTTGTGTGGTAGGCTCTTAATTGCTGCCTCGACTTCTGCCCTTGTTATTTTTTTCAAGTTTTATAATGAGATTGCAGAAATTCAGTTGTGTCTTCAGGCTTCACTTCTTTTTTTTTTTTTTTTGAGACGGAGTTTCGCTTTTCTTACCCAGGCTGGAGTGCAATGGCATGATCTCGGCTCACTGCAACCTCCGCCTTCTGGGTTCAAGCAATTCTCCTGCCTCAGCCTCCCAAGTAGCTGGGACTACAGGTGCGCACCACCATGCCCAGCTAATTTTTGTATTTTTAGTAGAGACGGGGTTTCACCTTGTTGACCAGGATGGTCTCAATCTCTTGACCTCGTGATTCACCCACCTTGGCCTCCCAAAGTGCTGGGATTATAGGCGTGAGCCACCGCGCCCGGCCTAGACTTCATTTCTAATTCCAGTTCTTTTACTACATCTACTGCATCTGCCATTACTTCCCCTATTGAATTCTTGAGCCCCCCAAAGTCATCCATGAGGGTTAGAATCTGCTTCTTCCAAACTTTTGTTAATGTTGATGTTTTAGTATCCTCCTTGAATCATGAATGTTCTTAATATCATCTAGAATGGTATATCCTTGGTAGGAGGTTTTCAATTTACATTGCCCAGATCCATCAAAGGAATTATAGTCTAGGGGAGCTATACTGTTACAAAATGTGTTTCTTAAATAATAAGACTCGAAAGTAAAAATTACTCTTTGATTCATGGGCTGAAGAATAGATATTAAATGGTTAGCAAATGTGAAAACAATATTAATCTCCTTGTATATCTCCATCAGAGCTCTTGGGTGGCCAAGTGTGTGGTCAGTGTGCAGTAATATTTTAAAACAATCTTTTTTTTTCTGAGCAGTAGGTCTCAACAATGACTTAAAATATTCAGTAACCATGCTGTAAACAGATGTACTGTCAGCCGGGTTTTGTTGTTCTGTTTATAGAGCACAAGTAGATTAGATTTAGTGTAATTCTTACTTGCCATAGAATTTTTAATACGACACATCAGCATTGGTTTCAACTTAAAGTCACCAGATTCATTAGCCCCTATTAAGAGTGTTAACCTGTCCTTTGCGGCTTTGAAGTCAGGCATTGAATTCTCCTCTCTAGCTATGAAAATCCTAAATGGCATGCTCTTCCAATACACAGCTGTTTTGTCTACATTGAAAATCTATTATCTGATATCACCACCTTTATCAATGATCTCTCCAACACCTATATCCCATACCATCATCAATTCCCAAAATCCTGTCTCAACAATAGATATCACACTTGACTTCTCTCCAGTTCTACTGCCAGAGTCTTTCACATTCATTCCCACAAGAGCTTTCAATCTTGTTCTACATTTATATTCAGCAGCAAAATGATCTTTAAAAGTGGAGATTGGATCACTTCACTTATCTGCATACAACCCTTCAGGGACCTCCCATTGCATTTAAAATAAAAATCTAATCCCTTGCTATGGCCTAAAAAACCTATGTCCAACCTCATTTAGCTCCACGTTCCCAAAGATAAGCTGTGGCCATGCTGGTCCTTTTTCAGTTCCTCAAACATGCCAAGTGCTTGCTTCCTCTCTTTTCTTGCATATAAAGTTTTCCCTGCCTGGGATGATCACCTCCCACTCTTCAGCTGGCTATCGCCTTTTCTTTTTCTGTCTCAACTTCAAGGTGACCTTTTCAGCTAGAGCTTTTCTTGACAAATTCTAACAAGAGAAGAACCTAATTTGACCTTTGACAAACTCTCCTTAAGGTTTTGCTAGGAAGTCTTAAGGGAGAATCCATTATGACTCAGGCACCAGTGGGGGGTTCTTTGGGGAGCCTGGCAGCATGTATTTTT